TCTCTCTCTCTCTCTCTCTCTCTCTCTCTCTTTTAGACACACACACACACACACACACACACACACACACACACAGATTTGTGTATGTCTTTCTTCTTCTATTTCTCCTTTGAAGTGCTCTTTGTATCTCTAGGTGGGAACCTTCACGAAGTGCTAGACAGTCGATGGTCGGTGCGACTCTGACGAAACGATCTTTCATTATCACTTTTTCTTTTTTTCGCCGCTCTTTGTTTTTTCTTGGAACGTGTACTTTTCATTTTCTGCTTTTCTTTTGCCGTGCTGTTGTTTGGCTTAGTGCTTTGTCACTCACTACCTTGTGCTCTTTGTTTCCCCCACCTGCCTCCCCCCTGCTCTCCAGCCTATACATTCCTTGCTGCTGCTTGTCGTCCATGCTCGTGTTGCCTTTACCTTCTTGTCTTGTTGCCCTGGCTGCCTGAGAAAACTATCAACACATGGAATTAACAAGAAGAAGATGACAGTGTCATGAGTTTTACGTATCATGGCGCCGCCGTCACCATCCTCCCAGCATCTCCTCATCTCCTTGCCATAACACCGCCAAAGATCTCAACCCTTCTCTACTCATATGCCACTCAAATCACCCTGACCACCTATCGCCTCGAGGCTTGATGCCTCGTTGCCTGTGCTTTCCTACCCTTTGCTTGCCTACCTTTTTTTTTCCTCCCTTCCTCGCGCCGTTTGTCTGAGTTTTTTCTTTTTGCTCTTTTTAAAGTAGGTGCTCCAACCTGCTGGTCGTGGTTGTCCGTGCCGGTTGTTGTTTCTCACTATTAAGTCGAGGTTTTTGTCGATCCGGACGGGAAGTGAGTGCTTCTTTGTAGCTCGTTGAATGCGCCCGTTGTTGTGTAGAGTGCAGAAAAAGTAATTGAACTCACACCCAAAAACAAAAAATTAGAAAAACAATATAATTGTATTTAAAAGATCTACTTCTCTTTGAATACATAGTGCTCCTCGTTGTGGCTTGTTCTAGAGTGCATTTCGCCAAGATACGACTGCGGAGGCGATGCCCCGCCCCACATCAAACACAAATACTACGAAGGTATCCCCCTCTACCTTCTTCCCCCGAATACAAAATACGGTAATTGTAACTGCATTTGTGATATCTTTCAGTGTAAATTATACTATTTGGGGTATCTTTTCCGTGTAAATACATTTATAATGACCGTACGTCGTATTCGGGGGAAGAAGGTAGTTTCCATCGAGGATGTCCAGTCCCTCCTCCACGATTTGCTGCCAGGTGTGCGCACACCCACACACACCCACCCACACACACACACACACACACACACACACACACACA